GTATGGGGGACGGCTGCGTATAGGGAACCTCAGCAGCTGGAGGAAACGGGGGCTCAGCGGGGACAGCAGCGTGACTGGGGCCCGACTGCAGGCGGGGGAGTCGGGCTGTGGGGCCCTGTCTCCGGTCCAGCGTCTCTCCCAGATCCGGCTGCACAGTGTCGGGTAGGCGGCTCACCCCATCAGGACAGCTCAGCCCCAGGGAAGGTCTGGGTGCTCTGGCTCCCGGGAGCCACCCATCCAGGCCCCGAGCCTCCTCTCTCAGCCGCTGGCCCTCTCCATCTCTGGGGTCCCTGTCTCCCTCCATCCATCCCACCTCCAGGCCCTGTCCAGCCCCCTGACCTTGTCCTCAGTGACGGGCACCGTGTGCACAGGGATCGGCCTCCAGGTGGCCTCGGAGCGCCCTGGGGCGGCCTCAGGGAACAGCCCCGCTAGGTTGGCCTGAGCGCTCTCCAGGGTCCGGTCAAAGTCTGTGCTGCGAATGTACACCTGGGTGCGGTGGGGAGAGGCCAGGCCAGGGTACCACGGTCAGGGTCAGAGGTCAGCTATAGCAGCAAACCAAAAGCTTCAGATTAAGTTCAGGGTCGAAGTTCAGGTGTTGGGGGTCAAAACTCAGGGTGGGTTCAGGGGCTGGCCTTCAATTTTGGAAGCTGGGATCAAGGGTCAGAGGTCAATGTCAGGAGCAGTTGGGTTGGGGGTCAGAAGTTGGGTGGACATTGAGGATTAAGGGGGTCAGTTGAGTCAATGAAAGTCAGAAAGGAATATCAGGGGCTTCCCTGGTGGCGCAGTGGTTAAGAATCCGCCTGCCAATGCAGGGGACACGGGTTCGAGCCCTGGTTCGGGAAGATCCCACATGCCGCAGAGCAACTAAGCCTGTGCACCGCAACTACTGAGCCTACGAGCCACAACTACTGAGCCTGCGAGGCACAATTACTGAAGTCCATGCGCCTAGAGCCCGTGCTCCGCAACAAGAGAAGCCACCGCAGTGAGAAGCCCGCGCTCACCGCAACTAGAGGAAGCCCTCGCGCAGCAACAAAGACCCAACGTAGCCAAAAGTAAATAAATTAAATACATAAATTTTTGAAAAGAAAAGGAATATAAGAATCGCTGGAGGCTGCAAGTTAGAAGTCAAGATGAGGAGGGCAGATTGGAGGTCATGGGGTCAGAGTTCAGTACATGTGTATCAGGGATCAGAGGTCAGGGGTCAGGAGGAATGATCCTAACTGGGGATCTGTCAGGAGACAGAGGACGGTATAGGAAAGTCAGATTTGAGGAAGGGTAGAGGTCAAAGGTTGGAGTCAGAAGGGCAAGTAGAATCAATGAGGGTCAAAGACAGAATCAATCAAGTTTCAGAGTCAGAGGTCAGAGGGTCTGGTTGGAGTCAGGAGGAGTCAGAACACAGAGGTGGAGGACAGAAAATAAAGTCAGAGATGATGGAGGTCAGAGGTCAAGATGTGACTCAGGTTGAGATAAGAGTCAGAGGTCAACGTGGTTTAGTCGATGGTTCAGGGGTCAGAGATCAGACATAAGGTGCAGATCAGGTTGATGGGGGTCAAAGGCCAGAGGTGGAGGCCAAGGGAAACACTAGAGTGGAAGTCAGAGGTGGAAGGTCAGGAGGTAAGATGGAGGTCAGTAAGGCAGTACCTCCTCCCGCCGGTACTCGGGGCTCAGAAAATCCTCGTAGCGACTCCTCAGGAAGCGGCCCAGCTCCAGCTGCTGGCGGACCCCTTCCTGGGGACAGAGCAGGCTCAGCGGACCCCTCTCCACACTGCCCCACCCCTTGCTCCCATCCCCAGCTTCTCACCCCGGTCAGCTGGCCCAGGCCACGTGGCCACAGGGTAGATACAGCCTCCTTGTGCGGGTCAGTGGGATAGGAGGCCAGCGGGGCCCGGTCGCCATGGCGGAACACCTGGGGAGGGGACCAGGTCAGGGCTGGCCTGGGGGACATGAGGGGCTGGGCAGCGGGGGTGGGGCACCTCACCACAGCCACAAAGACCAGGGGTCCCTCTGTCAGGGCCTGGGGTAGCAGCAGCAGCAGCAGGAGAAGTCCAGCAGGGTGGCCCCGAAACCCTGGCCCGGCCATTTCCACACAGCCAGACGCTGAGCTCAGCCCACTGTCTGTGCCACAGCCCCACCTGCTCATTACCCCCGCCTCAGCAACGCCCCCCAGAAGAGCAGGTCCCAGCACGCCTCCCCGCAGAGCCCGATCCCCCAGGGCCTTTGTCAGCCTTGGATTCACCATGGACTGACGCATTTAATCTTCACCACAACCCCAGGAAGTGTTGATCTGATTATCACCATCTCCATGGTGCAGGCGGGGAAACCGAGGCACAGCGAGTGTAAGTAATCTGCCTGAGGGAACACAGCTAGTGAGTGGCAAAGTTGGGATTTGAACCTAGGAGCCCTTAAAGTGGGCACAGAGGGAGGGAGAACCCCGCCCCGCTCCACATTCTAGACTCTGCCCTCCCCTCCTTCCCCACTCCACCAGCCACATCTGTTCTTTTTCTCACCCCTTAAATGTTGGGGCTCTTTGAGGCTCTCTTGGACTTCTTGGTGACTTCTTCCAGTGCCACCCACAGCTGGCCAAAGCCAGCATGGCCCAGAGGTTGAACACCCACACCCTGGAGTTTGGACAGGCTGGGTTCAAACCCCAGCTTTGCCATACATAAGCTGTGTGACTTTGGGCAAGTTACTGAATCTCTCTGTGCCTTAGTTTCCTCATTCACACAATGGGGACAAGCATAGTCTGTTCCTTGGAGAGTTGCTTTCAGGATTAATGAGTTCAAATATATTCAGCACTTAGAACAGCGTTTCTCAGGGTAAGTACTAAATAGTGTTGGTTATGTACTGCTGTGTAACAAATCACTCTAAAACTTAATGGGGGCTTCCCTGGTGGCGCAGTGGTTGAGGGTCCGCCTGCTGATGCAGGGAACGCGGGTTCGTGCCCCGGTCCAGGAGGATCCCACATGCCGTGGAGCAGCTGGGCCCGTGGGACATGGCCACTGAACCTGCGCGTCCGGAGCCTGTGCTCCGCAACGGGAGAGGCCACAACAGTGAGAGGCCCGTGTACAGCAAAAAAAAAAAAAACAAAACTTAATGGGTTAGGACAGTAGCCATTTATTATCTCTCACAGCTTTTGTGGGCCAGGAGTTTGGGAGTGGCTTAGCTGGGTGATTCTGGCTCAGGGTCTCTCATGAGATTGTAGTCAAATATCCACCAGGGCTGCAGTCACGTGAAAACTCGACTGGCACTGGAAGAGCCACTTCCAAGCTTACTGATGTGGCTGTTGGCAGGAGGCCTCAGCCCCCTCACCACACAGGCCTCCCATAGGGCTGCTTGAGCATCTTCACAGCATGGCCACCAGCTTCCCCCAGAGTGACTAACCCAAGGCATAGCAATGTCTTTTATAGCCCAGCCTCAGAAGTCACCCTCTGCCATTTCCACCATATTCCACTATTTACACAGGTTGACCCTATTCCATGAGGGAGGGGACTACATGGGATATGAACTCCAGGAGGTGAGACTCACTGGGGGCTATGTTGGAGGCTGGCTCCATGGCAATGTTCTTTATTTTATTTTATTTTTGGCTGCGTGGCATGTGGGATCTTAGTTCCCTGACCAGGGATCAAACCCACACCCCCTGCATTGGAAGCATAGAGTCTTAACCACTGGACTGCCAAGGAAGTCCCCATGGTAATGTACTTTAAGTAAAGATGTCTTGTCAGCCCACTTCCTGAGTCTGCCCCCCACCCCGAAATTCATATGTTTTAACCCGAACCTCCAAGGTGATGGTATGAGGAGGTGGGGCCTTTGGGGTGATTAGGTCATGAGGGTGGAGCCCTCATGAATGGGATTAGTGCCCTTTTAAAAGAGACCCCAGAGAGCTCCCTGGTCTCTTCCACCACATGAGGACACATCGAGTAATTGGCCATCTATGAACAAGAAAGCAGGCTCTTACCAGACACCAAGTCTGCCAGCACCTTGATCTTGGACTTCCAGCCTCCAGAACTGTGAGAAATATAGTTGTGTTATTTATCAGCCACCCCATCTATGGTATTCTATTATAGTAGCTCAAACAGACTAAGACAAGTCCCGTCTCAAGATCCTTAACGTAATCACCTCTGCAAAGTCCCTTAAGCCAGGTGAGGGAAATACTCACAGGTTTTGGGGGTTGGGGTGTGGCCAGTTTGGGTCTATTACTCAGCCCACCACACACGTAAATACGGGGGTGGCCCACCCCACTCCTCTGATCCCCTTTCCACCATTCTCTGTCCAGCTCTGTGCCCTTGAGGAAGCCTCTGTCTTCATCTCCATCCTGGCCCCCCTGCCCTCTGGATCCCCGTTGGGGTCAGCCAGGGAGGGGAGCAGGAACTCCTAGGATGAGAGGTACTGGCTGCAGTATAGCTTCCTTCAGGGAACCCCCTGTCCCTTGAGGTTCTGATGACATGGATCTCACCCCTTGATGCCTAGCGGTGTGTATTGGTTTGCTAGAGCTGCTGTAACAAACAGCCACAAACTGGCTGGTTTAGACATCAGAAATTTATTGTCTCCCAGTTCTGGAGGCCAGAAGTCCGAAATCAAGGTTTCAGCAGGGTCGGTCCCTTCTGAGAGCTGTGACGAAAGATCTGCTCCCTGCCTCTCCCCAGCTTCCGGTGTTGCTAACAATCCTTGGCTTATAGAAGCATCACTCCAGACTCTGTCATCATGTGGCCTTTGTGTGTGTCTGTCTCTGGGTCTCTCCTCTTCTTATAAGGACACCAGTTATGACCTGATCTTAACTTGATTTACATCTGCAAAGACCCTATTTCCAAATGAAGTCACATTCACAGGTACCAGGGGTGAGGACTTGATCTTTGGTGGGACTCAGTTCAGACCCAACTGGGTGGCAGCAGCTCCCCAAGTTTCCTAAGCCCAGTGCTGAGCTGTCTTGCCAACTCTGGACATGGGCCCTGCATTAAACTCCCTCCAATTAAACCTTTCTGAGCTGCGCCTGCCGCTTTCTGCTGCAACACTGAGACAGCACATCCTTCCAGATTTTTCAACACACGCGTTCTTTTTTTTTTTCCCTGCCGCACCATGCGGCACCTGGGATCTTAGTTCCTCAACGAGGGATCGAACCCGTGCAACCTGCAGTGGAAGCGCAGAGTCTTAACCACTGGACCGCCAGGGAAATCCCCACATTTAAAAAATATACGTACTTTTTACCAAAAGGAGATCATATCGCACATGCAATTTTGGAACAATCTTCTCTTTTCCATGTCAATAACACTTTCATCTCATCTAATACCCACTCTCCTTTCAGAGGTCCCCAATATCTCCCCAAATATCCTTTACAGCTGATTATTCTAAACCAGAATCCAGTTCAGGATCACCCATCGAATCTGGTCTTACATCTCTTATGGATTTGTTTAAATAAAGCAAGTCCATTTGCCTTGGGTTTTTGGGGACACGGACTTGTTGGAGAGACCATGCCAGTTGCCCTGTTCAATGTCTTGCCTTTTTCTGGCTGGTGCACTCAGGTATCATTTCACAGCTGATTCTTGTCATTTCCAGCATTTACGTTGCATAAAGTCAGCGGGAACGGGGGATTAGCAAATACTGAGTCATTGCTTCTAGGGGAAAATGTGTGTGTGTGTCACGTAGATTATAATCTTAAATCCAAAAAACTACTCATCCTGGTAGATCCTTCTTTTTTTTCTTTTTGTTTTTTACAAACTAGAAAATTTGCCTCAGGCCACCCCACTCACAGGTGCCAGAGCTGGGATCCAAACCCATCCCTCTGGCCCCAGAGCAGGAGCTCCTCCCCAGCACTGCCCCCTCCTGTCTCCGGCCTCTGGGCAGCTCTCTGCTTGAGCTGAAACAAGAGAGCAGAGAATTGTCACCTTGATCAACCACAGCTGGGGATGTGTGTGTCCTCAGACTCAAACTTGTAGCCACTCTGGGCAGAGATGGAATCGCGGATAATGAGGGCTGACTGCACTGGTTTCCTCTGTCCTCTGTGTTTCTGGTGACCCCAAAGTTAGTTCTAAAGGCGTGATGGACCCAAAGAGATTTAGGTCTACAAACTCTCGGGAGGGCTGGCGGAGTAAAAGCCAAGGACCGCCAGAGGGCCATGGGAGTCCCAGGCACATCACTGTCCCCGTGGCCCAGAGATGGGAAAGCTGCTGCCTCTGCAACGAGTTCTACCATTATAACTGCTGCTTCCGCCCCCAAACTGGTGACCAGGCTCTGGAAGGCTCGGTCCTCCCCCTGCTGTGTCTCTAAATCTTGCAACTGGCAGATACCATTGGAGGAAATTTTGCCTGGGCCACCTCATCTGCTCTCTGGCTTCCAGTCTCTTCTCTTCTTTTGGCCTGTGGGACCTTCCCAGACCGGGGCACGAACCCGTGTCCCCTGCATTGGCAAGTGGACTCTCAACCACTGTGCCACCAGGGAAGCCCCACCCGGTTCTTTTTTTTTTTTTTTTTTTTTTTTTTTTTTTTTTTTTCTCCGAGATACTTTTGGCACCCAGAGCTGCAGGTCTGGACTCTCCCATCTCAAATGTCCCCATTCCAAGTTCACATACTCCATGTGACATTCTGTACCCAAATGCCCCTCTCCCCCAAGCCTCTGCCACAAGGTCCCCTTACCCAGAATGCCCTTCTCTTGTCACCATGGCCACCATTCTGGTCTCCCAGACGACCCTCTGTCAGGCTCTGCTGGCCCATCTCCTCTCTCTGGCTCACAGGCCCAGGAAAGGGAGAGAGAGGCCAAGCAGCCCTGCGGCTGAGACCTCTGGCCGTGAATTTTCAGGAAGTGAGGAGGGGTCCGGCAGGGGGAGGGAGGCCCGGGGTAGGGGTGGGGAGAGGGAAGGGAAGGGATGGGTCCTGGCCTCTGACCCCTCCCTCCAGAATGTGACCCCGGCCATAGCCATATTCACCATCCTCACCTCCATCTATCTTCTTCAACAAGGTGAGTGGGAAGACGGCGGGGGTCGCAGGCTAGATCTCGGGCCTCTCTTTCTGTCCCACGTTTCCGTGTATCTCTCTGTCTCTTTTCCTCTCTTAGGCTCAGCAATGAGAAGACACAGGACCCCTAATCCAAGAGCCCTGCCTCTGCCCTGACCGTGACTCTGGCCTCTGAGACCAAATAATAAATGTGACTGAATCAGCACAGCCTGCTCTATCCCACCACGCCGGCAGGCACACAGACTTGGGCCAACTCTGTCTGAGGGCCAGGCTTCTGGGTCAGAGAGAGGAGGCCCGGACTCCTGGGTCTGGGGAAGGTGGGAACTAGGGGGATAGACTATCAGGTTTGAGGCTAGGTGCCCAGAAACTGAGCTGTGTTTTGAGGGGTGAGTAGTCTGTCGGGAGCGTTTAGAGAGGGGGAAGGACATTCCAACTTTGAGTGCAAAAACACAGATAGGAGAAGCAGAGATGACTCACCACCTGGTACCAACACAGACTGCTGTGTACTTCAGACTTATTCCTTCTCTCTGAGTCTTAGTTTTCTTCTCAGTCAGACAAAGCTGAAAATCTTGGACCAGTGGGCCCCAGAAGGCCGTGGCAAGGACAGCCTGAGATCAAAGACGCAAATGGAATCTGCAAGTTGCAAAGGGTCTGTAGTGATGTCTTCATTGCTATATTGTATCAACACATCTTTCTCTTTTCTTAGCAAACTCCTATTCAGCCTTCAATGCCTACTGTAAATGCCCCTTACTCATAAAAGTGTCCAGACCTCCAGATATACAGTCAGTTACCAGCTCCCTCACTAACCGCCTCCTTCCCACTCCCTGTCTCCATCCCCAGTAGGTGGAATGCCATGGGTGACACGCCAGCCTTTGGTCAAGTTTCATCCATTTTTCTCATCAGACAAACAATTTCATTTCACCTCAAGATCTGAAAAGGCAGCTTCTGAGTAGGGTGACTGAACATCCTGGGTTTCCTAGGAAAGACCTAGAAAATTCCAATTAGAAACGAATTTAAAGTTTCACTATAATTTTAATTTGTAATAGTGCCGTCTTTAGCTCTTCTAAGCGTCCTGATTTAGAAGACAGTCTTACTTATAGAAGACCTTGGTTGCAAAGCTAAGAATAACCACACAGGGGCGGTGTTGTACTATGTTCCCAGCCAGAAGTTGGTCGGCCCAGCTCTAGCAGGGAAGTCGATTTCCGCAAAACAAGAATTCTGAGACCTGAGCCGGGTAAGCGGTCCTTGAGGCTTCGTCCCCTCTCCCAGGGGCCTTCCTCTCACCCTGGACCATAGCCGCGCCCCCTATCTCTCTCCTTCAGTCTTCACAGGGGTCACTCTACGAGCAGAGGTGACCTATCCTTCCCATGGCTCCCCGGCACCCCTGGGACAAGAGTCCCAGCCCCTCAGCCTGGCATGGGAAGCTGTGTTTTGGGGTTGGTTTGTTTGGTTTTGGCTGCGATGTGTCTTCTTTGCTGCGCGTGGACTGTGGGCTTTCTCTGGTTGCTGGAAGCGGGGGCTCCTCTTCATTGCAGTGCACGGGCTTCTCACTGTGGTGGCTTCTCTTGTTGTGGAGCACGGGCTCTAGGCGCGCGGGCTTCAGTAGTTGTGGCACGTGGGCTCAGTAGTTGTGGCTCCCGGGCTCTAGAGCGCAGGCTCAGTAGTTGTGGCACACGGACTTAGTTGCTCCGCAGCATGTGGGATCTACCCGGACCAGGGATCGAACCTGTGTGCCCTGCATTGGCAGGCGGATTCTTAACAACTGCGCCACCAGAGAAGTTCCGGAAGCTGTGTTTGACCTGACGCCCTCCCGTCTTTTTCTTTTTTTAATCGCACCCACCTCTTACGCCCCCTCTGTAGTATATCTTAACGTATATAACTCACAGATGGTTTAAAGAAAAAAAAGCCTCACCACAGGATCTTTGCACATGCTGTACTCCCTACCCGGAGTGCCCTTTCCCTCCTCTATTGTGTGTCAGCTCCACCTGGAAGGCTTCCTAAAAACCTCTCCCAATCAGAGTCAGCCTCCCTGCCTCTCTTCACCTCCCCACGCTTCTTGGCTGTGACTGGGAGCCTGAGGCACGGGGTGCACAGAATAAATCTGACTTCTGCTGGACCCCCAGCTTGGGTCTTGGCTATCAACGTTTGGAAAACAAACAAATATTGACAAAGAAATCGATCTTTGCGTCCCTCCTCCCCACTCCCACCTCCAGGGTTTTCAGCCATTGAGTGCTGGGTTTCTCAACGCCCTGGGAGCTACCAAGGTTGCATTTGCACAGCCACAGGCACTTGGAGATGCATGGGGCTCAGCCCGCTGCCGTGGGACTTCCTGGCAAGCTTTTGAAACTCCCAGAGCCCAGCTCTACCCTAGACCACTTAAACCACAACACCTGGGGATGGGCCCTGGGCATTGATTTGGATTTTAAAAGCTCCCCCGGAGATTCTGATGTGCAGACAGGGTCAAGAGGCATCTACTATAATGCATTTTCCAAAGACGGAAGAGATAGATTTTCCCCCTTGGAGCTTAGTGCATTTCTGAGGTAGCACCACAGATACATCAAACGACTCAGAACGTGGAGCAAAATTAACCTTTAGTTTGGAAACATTTGGGAGTTTGAAAACCAAAGGTGACCAACAACATCCTTTTCCAGGGGCGGGGGCATGGTTAGGAGGCGCATGCATATTTCAAAAGGCAGCAAGAGAAGACGAATGACAGCTAGTGTCCTGGAGATCCAGAACATCCGATGGCCAAGTACTGTCCTTTGTTACTCGGTTCCACCTGCAGGAACCACGCATCCCAGCGTGCATGAGACTTTCCCGGTTTTAGCTCCGAAAGCCCCATAGCCCAGATATTGTATTGCTAAGTCCTGGCATAACCAGGATGGTTGGCTGCAGATTCCTAGCCCATGTCTATAATCTTGTCTTTAGATCCAGGCCCACAGTCTGTCTGTCTGTCTGTCTGTCTCTCCCTGTCCATCTGTCTCTCTCCCCACACATTCCCCTCTCCTTCAGTCAGAGTCTAGTTCCTTTCCATCTCCTCCTGGGTCTTCGTCTCCGTATCTTTTTCTGTCTTGTCTCCCACTTGGTCCCTCCCGGCAGCCTGACCTGTCTCTCGCGTCCCTTCCCTGCCTTGGCCTCCGTCTGCCGCCACGTCTATGTGATGCTGTCACGTCTGCGTCGGTGCCCATTTCTCCCTCTCTGCATCTCTTCCTCCACTTGGCCTGCTTTCTCTTTGCATCCTTGTTCCCCATTCTCTGGGGCCCTGCCCCCCACCCCGGGTCCCTGTCCCCCTCTCTAAATTTCAGTCTCTCTCAGCATCTCCCATTCTCTGGAGTTTGATAAGGTGGGAGACACCCCTCTACACTCCCCCTAAATGTCCCCAGCCCCCATCCAGGAATTTCCCTCCCGGCCGCCGCAGGACACCTGGGTCTCCCTCCCCGGTGCCAGACCCCACCCCTCTCCCCCTCAGACTACCCAACTTGGCGGCACCAGAGGGCCCGCCCAGCACAGGTGCTGCCTGAAGGCCTGGTCCTCTCACACACAGAGCAGTGAGTTGAGGCAGCCACAGGCCCCGAGCAGGGTGAGCCCCAGGGACCTAAGCAGCAGCCACACCTCCTCCTTGTCTGGCCCGGCCTCTCACATCCCCACCAGCATCAACAGAAGCAGCAGGTGGAAGGGAAACCAGCAGAGAAACAGCATGGCCCCCGTGGTTCTGGCACCCCTAGCAGCCGGGGCCTCCCTGTGAGCCTTGCCAGCTGCAGCCTGGCCTTTAGGAGGCTGTGAAAGGCACTCAGCACTGCCAGTGGCACCCCAAAGCTGAACGCCAGCTGACTCAGTGCAGGGCTGGAGGATGAAGATGGCTGGGCAGGCGTCTTGTTAAAAGTGTCGGCCCGGTTCACCTGGCCCCTCAGGGTTCACAGGGCTGATGTGCCCAGGACCAGAAGAAGCAGCCCAAAACCCCTGGCCCAGAAAACTGCCCTCCAGGCTGTGCGATGGTTCTGTGCCCAGGGGTGGGGGCATGGTTAGGAGGCGCGTGGGCTGGAGCGCAGAGGTGTAGCGGTCGGCGGCCGCACGGGTCAGCAGGCCGCCACTGGCGTAGAGTGTCAGGAAGACGAGGCCGGGGTCCAGGTGGCAGAAGATGCCACCCAGGGGCCAGCCGGAGAGCGTCCAGGTGAGGGGCAGGGGCAGGAGAACAGTGAAGGCGGCATCGGCCATGGCCTGGTGGCCAAACCAGTCTGCGGACAAAGGGGGAGGCAGGAGGGGCCCTGTCCCTTGGATCACCAGGAGGTAGGAGATGAGGGCGGCCAGGGAGTAGAGGAGGAAGAGGGTCGTCCCTGGTGGGCACAGGGCCGCAGCAGGTGACGGCTGCCAAGTCTCCAGAGGGTCCTCCAAGGGCTGGATGATGCTTTTGGGACCCACAGGCCTCCACGTTAGCAAGTCCCACATCCCGCCCCCCACCAACTTCCCCGTGTCCTCCATCTCAGGGACGGCCCCCCCGTCCACCCAGACCTGGGGCGCTGTCCTCTCTCCCTTGCTTCCCCTCACCTCTCACAGTCTCACTCTGATTCTCTCTGCCCCGTCCCCGTCGCCCTGGCCCCGTGCAGGCCTTCACCTCACCTGGCTGGACTCTCAGCCCAGCCTCCTCCCAGCCCTAGCTGCCTCCAGTTATCCCATTCAGTGCAGAGCAGACCTACCCCTCCCCTGCTCACAAGCCTCCCATGGCTCCCCAGTACCCCTGGCCAAAGTCCCCGCCCCTCAGCCTAGGGTGGAGACCCTGGGTGGTCTGACCCACCCTCCTCTGCACCCCTTCTCCTGTCCTTAATGCATCATCGCATCAAACCACTCCCAGAACTAGAGGCTTGCTCCAGTCTTCTGCACTAAACCCCTGGTATCCTCCTCCAGCCTCTCAGGAAGCCCGTATCTTTCAAGGACTGCAGGATCCTGGCTGTGCCAAGCCCCACCAAGTGACTACTCTTATTTTTTTTAATTTTTATTATTATTTTTTGGCCGTGCTTCGCAGCATGCAGGATCTTAGTTCCCTGACCAGGGATCGAACCCATGCCCCCTGCATTGGGAGCGTGGAGTCTTAACCACTGGACCGCCAGGGAAGTCCCGAGGTGGCTACTCTTAACAGCTCCACTTTTCAGATGGGGAAACTGAGGCTCGGAGGAGATTCACTTGCTCAAAATCAAAGAAGACAAAACAGAGGCCAAGCCAGGATTTGCACCCGTATCTGTGTGACTCAGAGGCCAGGATGTTAACTCGGGGGTCCCGATCTGTTTGCGGGCCTCAGTTCCCCCACTCCGTTTCCTCGTTATCCTGAGCCCACCAGCAGGTGGGAGACAGGCGTCTTCCAGGGTGTCTGAGCAGGAGCTGGAGGCCTGGTCTCCCCTGGAGGATACAGGATGGGGAGGCTCACAAGTGGATAGAAATCAGAGAGCTGGAAATCGGAGGGGCCACCACACGGGGTCTGAGCATGGGCCTCAGTTGCCCCATCTGTGAACCGAAGGATCAGCTTGTTTGCTTGGGCGCTGTCTTCCCATTGCCGCCAGGATGAGGTCTGAGCTCCTCAGCCTGGCATTTGCAGCCCTAGCTTTAGGGGCTCCACCCACATCACCAGCTGCCTAGCTCACCACTTCCCTTCCTTCTGCTCCGGAGTTCCTAGAACAAGCCACGTGGTTTCATGCACACATGCACACACCCAGCCTCTGTCCCTGCCATTTCCTCATTCTGGACTTGACCCTATTGTTCCAGCCAACAAACTCCTACTCAAGCTTCAGAACCCGACTGAGTGCCACCCTCCCCAGAAACCCTTCTCTGACTATGACACACCCCACCAGACTAAATCAGGTATCACTTTCATTGCATGTAGGGTCTCTGAGAGGTTCATGCTAAGCCAAGGGCAGGAATGAAATGTCAACTATGTATGGAGCAATGTGCTGTGACCTTCACATCCATCATTTTAATTTATTCTTCCAAGAACCCTGTGAGAACGATACTATTGCTGTCCTCATTTTATCAAGGGGGAAAGCTGAGGCAAACTTAAATAAATGAGCCATTCAGTAAATGAAACAACTCAGAAAAGAATCCAGGTTGACCGACTCCAGGATCTGAAGTCTTAACCATTGTATTATTTTGCCTAAACAAAGACTTTTTAAAAATATTTATTTATTTATTTATATTTATTTATTTATTTATGGCTGTGTTGGGTCTTCGTTTCCGTGCCAGGGCTTTCTCTAGTTGTGGCAAGCGGGGGCCACTCTTCATCGCAGTGCGCAGGCCTCTCACTATCACGGCCTCTCTTGTTGTGGAGCACAGGCTCCAGACGCGCAGGCTCAGTAGTTGTGGCTCGCGGGCCTAGTTGCTCCGCGGCATGTGGGATCTTCCCAGACCAGGGCTCGAACCTGTGTCCCCTGCGTTAGCAGGCAGATTCTCAACCACTGTGCCACCAGGGAAGCCCACAAAGACTTTTTTTTTTATGTGGACCATTTGTAAAGTCTTTATTGACTTTGTTACAATATTGCTTCTGCTTTATGTTTTGGTTTTTTGGCCCTGAGGCATGTGGGATCTTAGCTCCCCAACCAGGGATTGGACCTGCACCCACTGCATTGGAAGGTGAAATCTTAACCACTGGACTGCCAAGGAAGTGCCAACAAAGACATATTGAATGAATAAATGCATGAATCATCCTTGAACAACCAACCCACACAGTGCCTCAGGACATGTTTGTAAAATGAATGAGTGAATGAATGAATGTATTCCCATCTTTACCTGGCAAACTTTACTCATACATTAATTCCCAATGCAAATGCCCCCTCCTCCAGGAAGCCCTCCCTGACTTTTCCAGGCCTAGTCCTTCTACAGTCCCTCTTCCTCCCTCGGATCCCCTTAATCCCTCCAGACTGGAACTGTCTGTGCCCTATTTATCTCCTATACCAGCCTGGGAGCCCCTGGAGGGCTGATTCATATCTACGTCCCCAACATCTCCCAGCTCAGGACCAGGTCACATGAGACCTCAGGACGTATTTGCATGCACAGCTCATGGTCTGGTGACAGATCAGGAGGAAGAAGAGGCTAAAACCCAACGATGAGGAAGACATGCAAAACCTCAGGGTGGTCCTCCAGAAAAGACATGGCTGGAGCTTCAGGACCCAGAGCAGACTGAGTGAGCACTATACCAGGAGTCCAGAGACAGCCCACCTCCTCGTATGACCAGATCCCTCATCTCTGAGCTCCAGTTTTCTCAGCCGGAGAACAAGGGTCCACGGACAAATTGGGTAGTGAATAATGAGCACATCACAGACTGCCATATTGGAACCTCCCAAGGGCTCCCCATCACCCTCTCCACCCCCCATTCCTCCCATCTCTAGGCCTTTGCTCCTGCTGTGCCCCCTGCCTGGACCGCCCTTCCCCACACCTCTTCCTCACATCACTCAGGTCTCTGCTAACGGTTGCCTCTTTCAAGTGTCTAAACCCCTCAACACTCCCTCTCCCCTTAATCCTCCTGCTTTCCTCTCCATAGCACTGATGATCACGCATTGATTTTTTAAATTGTAATTGTTTAATTGTCTGTCTGCACCCCTCCCCACACCCCACCCCAATGCTGTAACAGAGGAATTCCATAAGAGTAGGGATTTTCATCCTAAAAGAGTGCCTGGCACATAGTAGGTGCTCAATAAATATTGTTGAATAAATGAATGAATAAATGTGAGTAGGGAACCCCATGCTCACTGTAGTAGGCAGATGAATGGCCCCAAAGATGTCCATGTCCTCATTCCGGAACCTGTGGGTATGTTACCTTACATGGCAAAGGGGAATGAAGGTCTCAGATGGAATTAAGGCTTCTAGTCAGATGACTCTAAAATAGGGAGAGGAACCTGGATTATCCAGGTGGGCCCAATATAATCACAATATAGGGATCCTGATATGTGGAAAAGGGAGGCAGAGAGAGATTTGAAGATGCTACCTGCAGGGCAATTCCCTGGCAATCCAGTGGTTAGGACTCCTTGCTTTCACTGCCATGGCCCAGGTTCAATCTCTGGTCAGGGAATTAAGATCCTGCAAGCCGCGTGGCATGGCCAGAACATAATAATAAATAAATAAATGAAGATGCTACCTTTGGGATTTGAAGATGGAGGCAAAAGCCATGAGCCGTGAAACGGGGACAGCCGCTAGGAGCTGGGAAAGGGAAGGAAAAGGATTCTCCTCTAGAGCCTAGTGACACCCATCTAGGACCTCTGACCTCCAGAATCATGAGATAGATGTGTGTTGTTTGAAGCCACTAAGTTTGTGGGAATTTGTTACGCCAACCATAGGAAAATAATACACCCATTTTATAGACCAGCCATTTGGAGGCTCTCTGAGGGCCAGGCACTCAATTGCTGACTTTGCCCCCTCAGTAAGAGGGGGTAGGAAGTTGGGGACAGGCCTCAGGGAGAGGAGCAACTGGACCCAGATTGGCCAAAGGTGAGGCATGGAGGGAGGGGTCAGGCTGTGGTGGGAGGGATGGGGCTGGCTGTGGGGAAAGAGGGGATGCGAGTGCTCTGCTCTGCCAGGCTTTACCTTGTGGCTCCTGTGGGCTTCAAAGTGCCCACGACTGGGAGGCGGAAGGAGTAGCAGGGGGTCCCACATTAGAACCCACTACCAGCCTCTCCCTCCCTTCACTCCCTCCAGCCCTGTCTGTCCCACTCTCTCTTCTCCATACCCACGGCCTGGTCCCTGCTCAGGCCTC